AATCATCTTCCAGCAAAGCGAGTGCGGCGTTGACACGCACCATCACCTATTGATTGCCACCTCTTCCAAGACTCTCACGAGGCTCGTCAAACATGTCGGATCGATACATTGGTTATGTTCCCACGTCGTCGGGTCGGTCTCCTACCTTCAACCCTGCCAGAGCTTCTATGCCGACCAGTGTAGGATACAGCTCTATGTATGCCGGAGACATGCATGTCGTACCGTCTGCCAGCCAAAGACACTACATTACTCCGAGAGGCTACTCTACTTCCACGACCGCCTCGGGAGTTCCTACAACTACAAGAACATATGCTATCACCCAGGACCCAAGAGGCAATTCTAGGACTAGAGACGGCAGCAGGACGCGTCGCTCAACGCTGGACTCGACTTCAAGGCCCCCAGTGATAATAACTACAACGCAGTTGGATCGATCTCATGGTTCTTCGTCTCACTCTGGCAACGCACGATCCGGGAGTCCTATTCGAGACGAATACCGTGCCTCTGACGGGCAAGTTTACTCACAGCCTGCCTCGTCTTTGCGTTCTCGCAATACAGCTTCTCGTCCATATCATGCGCCTTCCCCGAGTGAGGATTTTGGCAGATATAGAGATAGGGCTGACAGTCACTTGAGCTCGCGTGACCTCGAAGCTTATCGGAATTCTCGACCTTCCGTTGTTTATCCGAGTGACCCGAGACATAGTACCGCGGCCATCGATTATGGGGACGACGGATATCAGTACACCAACGCCGGCGAGCTCGTCAAATACGACTTGGATCAATCTAAGCCAAGCCGCTCTAGGCGGCATGATCGACATGACAGTTTTGATACGGGATACTACCGTCCAAACGTCAATTACGATTTAGATAGGAGGAATCTTAATATCAACACCAGCCATGATCTCAATCGACCCCCTAATGGTCCCAGTAGCAGGCAACACGACGGACGATCTGGACCACCGCCTTCAACTCGTGGTTTTGATAAGATCAATCGGGCGTATGATTCTAGGGATGCGCCTCCAGCTGCGCCAGTCCCCCCCTCACCCACCAGTGCCGCATCGCTACTCGAAATACCTGGAAGCTCCGGCAGCGGCAGGAGACCGCGACCCTTGTCGCTTCACCAGGATGCTGGACTCCGGTCATCGCATCATGACGAGTTATATCGAAGTCGAGAAGATGAGCGTGTCATGCGTGCCATGCGCGACCGAGATTTTGATCGCCGCTCTGAGCCTCCTCGGTTCTATGATGATAGCGTCACATCACGAGGTTTTGGAATTCGCACAGACGTTCTAAACCCCCCAGAGGAAATTAAGGAGCGCCGCCGTGAATCACGACTCGACGACCAAAGAAAGAGATCTGACGAAGAAGTGTCATACGGCTCAGATAAAGACAGAGAAGGTCGACGTTGGAGTCGCCAGGATCCCATGGATGATCGAAGAGATCGGAGACAGACTAAAAGAGATGAAGAGAACCAAGATCAGGAACGGTCACGGACTCGTGAGACGCTCACTGGCGGACTCGGTGCCGCGGCAACTGCCGCTAGCCTTGTAGCTTCAACCAAATCAGGAGAGAAGAAAGACCCAGGAGCTCCTGGTGCAAAGAGACGCCGTAGTCCTCCAGAGGATCGCGAAATTCACAAAGAAGTTATCGTAGAGCAAGATGCTCGCCAGTCCCTTGAAAGAGCCAGTAAGCCAATGGGAGGGAAAGAGGGGACTCGAGAACGGGAATCATTACAGGAGAAAGAGCCACTCCAGGAACGAAATCCTACTACGAAAGAGAGGCCGCCAGCGTCTGAAAGGGATGTCTTCGTGCCAAGGGAACTAGTTCGGGAGCCTGCGCCAATTCGTGAGAGAGATCCAGTGAGGGAGCCTGTAAGGGATAGTTTGCGAGATAAGGAGTCCGTGAGGGAAGAACCTAGAGATGGTGGCAGCTTCGAGCGACGTCGACCTGACGCAGATACCCGAACGATCAGAGAACCTGTAAGAGCCTCGGGATCGGATTCCGATGATACGAACAGACCCCCTCGACGAGGTCGTGCTTCCCAGGCATTCAACCCTAATGACGCCTCTGATTTGAAGCAGCTTAAGGAGCAGCTAGCCTCGATGGAGATGTCCAATAAACGGCAAGAGAAAGAAGTTGAACGACCAGCTTTGGCAGAGAAGCCAGAGAAGCCACGAGCCCGCTCTCCATCTCCATCAAAGGAGCAAGCCGCTGCTAGCTCATCCCGGGAATCCTCTCAAGAAAAGTCCAGCGAAGAATCTCGCGGTCGAGAACTCGTTGTTCCTGCAGCTGAAGGGAAGCAAGTCCGTGTTGTGTCACCTCCGAAGGACAAATCCGAAGGCAAGCCCTTGAAAGGCATCCTGAAGCAGCCGAAAGCTAGCTTCCCAGAAGAAGCTAACCCAGTTCGTGAGGGTGTGGCCCCCCACAAAGAGGACAAGAAACTGAAGGAGGCCCCTCCAGGGGCGAGGTGGACCAAGATCAATCGCAAGATTGTCAATCCCGAGGCACTGACCATTGGAAAGGAAAGATTTGAAGTTCGCGATGACTTTGTCATCGTGCTGCGAGTCTTGAGCAAAGAGGAGATTCAGGCTTATGCCGCAGCAACACAGGTATTGAGAGGTAAGCAGTAACCTTTGCAGCTGTGATGTCAGGTTTGGTGCTAACTGAAAACTGCAGAGCGACGCCGTACCAAGATTGAAGGGAAAAAAGAAGGGGACAATGATTATGCAAGGGAGCGTGATACTATGCGTGACGAAGCTGGCGAGGAAGACGAAGAGCGTCATCATCGCCACCGCCGACGCCGTGAAAGTGAAGAAGAGAGTGATGAGAAGGAACGCCACAAGAATCGTGACAGAGACCGTGATCGAGAGAGGGAGAGGGATCGTCAGCGAGAGCGGGATCGAGAGTCTGAACGTGAAGGTGAAAGGCAACGACACCATCGGAGAGATCAGGCGGATGACTACGACAACCGGGCACGAGACGACCATTATCATCACCACCATCACAACAATCACCGGTCGTTCAGAGAGCGAGAGCGAGAGCGAGAGCTGGAAGCGAAGAGCTAGGGAAATGGCGTTTCTGGGTGATTTATGATTCCCATGTATTTATTATGAACTGACTTTTGGGTTATTTACGCAAGCATCTTGGCCACAAAAAAAAATAAAGGGGCAAAAAAGGCGTATGAGACGGGGCATTCGCTATGTATCAGTAACCTCAATGCAATAGATTCACTTTCGCCCAGCTTGTGGAGGGTGTTGCACTCACTATATTATTCCTCCCACTATGCAACTACGCTAGCTCTATCGAATTATTACGTCGTAAATAGTCAAGTCTGGCTGCTATCTTTTTACCCGGCTGACACGATAAGTGAAACACGTATGCTTGCCTAAGTATCCCAAATCAGAAGCGGACACAGTCTGGTGCTATGAGCGCCGGGTTACCACTCAAGTCAGAAGCTCTGCCTTTTAGCAGACGCAAAGCGCAGTTGGTTCCTTGGACTTATGTCCGTATGCTCTATCATCGGCCGTGGCGGATGAAGTACTCGAGGTTTCTCATCTGCCACGGTGTATCAGTGGCGACTCTAGGCAGCTTGTGTACTGAAGGTGCTTATATAAGATTGAGCTCAATTTCGCCCTCTAGCTGGAGAGGGAGGGATCGAGGACAAGATTGTTCTGCATTGTTAGTATAGCTCTGCCGGTAAGCTGCCTTCAGCATCAGGTGTGAGGTGCTAGAGTCGTGAGGTTGAGGTGGACAGATATAAGTAGGGTTTTTGTCAGTGAGAAATACAAGTTGTCTCGGCCTTGAAAAGACCAAAGGTTGCCCCAGTCATTCATTCCGGCTCGTCATACCTGCTGAGTTGTTCAGTTGTTGGCAAGTTTCGGTTCGAGCTGTCCGCATAGTACAACGTGCATTGCAAGTCCTAGTTGGTACTTAAGATAGTTTTAACCATACATCCCCAACAAAAGGTTAAGAAAAGCCAGTAAAGGCCGTGTAGCTCAATGGTAGAGCGTCTGACTACGTAGCGCAGTATCCTCATAGTATCCTTACCCCGTAGTCAGAAGGTAGCGGGTTCGATTCCTGCCATGGCTAAATATTTTTTTTATTTTATTCCCTCCGTCATAAGGGGAAGCTTATACTTAATAATTAATATTATTACAAGTTAAATTTTACTTTTTAATGCTCCTGCAACTGATTGCTCTCCAGATCCACCACATGCAGCCCAGGCTAGCCAAACGCCGATATAAATGTGGACATGACGGGGAGTTCGAAGACGTCACGGCGGTTTCGAGCCAGGCCACTAATACGCAGCGTTTTGTAGGGCCGCAGGCCCTTTTAGAGGGCTCTTACATAGTATTGCTTGTAGTATGCTTATGGTCATTCACCAGTAGTCCCTTTCATTTGTGTTTGTAAGGCTTGTATCGCATTAATGCCCTGGGCTTATCCCAGAATCCCCCCTTGGTTAACAGCCTCGGGGTCGCTCTCATGAGAGAAACATGTGCCTAGAATAGCATAGCCGTAATGGTCGTGTCTGACTTGTCTTTATTACTGATGGGGGTAGCATTACTCGGGTCTCATATCCAGGATCAGAATTGCACAAGTGCCTGGCGGATACTCGGGAGTCGGGGCCAGCAGAAACAGAAAAAATCACGGTATTCATTTTTACCCTGCATGAGGCGTAATTTCGAAAGACGTCAAAATCCCTATTGGTAGTAGTATTCCCGTTCTGGAGTTCTAACGAGTTCTATCTAAAAGTGCATCTAAAGGAGCGTTTCGTATAATGCAGCTGTCCCAGTTAAAGAATTCCCCAAAGTGCAACTCTCTATCGCTCGCTACATGGTGTCGAGATATCCAGACTTGATATCGCCAGGCTCTAGTCGCCAAACGACGATGCTATACGAGCCATGGAGCTTAAAGGCGCCATATTCCAAAACAAACAAGACCAATAAAAACAACTCTAAAGGAACCCCAAAATCATGCTCTAATTGCTTCCACCCGCCCCTCAATCACCAGTAGGCGATGCGCACGCCGGCGATAGCATTGTCATAGGAAATCCAGGTCTCATCGCCCTGGCCAACGATTTCAAAGGCCTCGGTCTTGCCGGGCTTGCAGTCCTGGGGAACCGAGAGCCCTCCATAGGTCGCCTCCCAATCAGCCCACGAAGGCGATGACGAAGGCCTCTTCCAGATACCTAGTTGGTTATTGCGCTGGTTCCCAGGACCCCAGTCGCTGGTCGCGCCACCCGGAGCAGGTTTGAGGCTGGAGAAGATGGCGAGCTTGTCAGTGCCGCTCCAGGATACCGAGTCGTATTTGAAGTACAGGGCGCATTTCTTGTTTGCCGTCGCCATGGGGTATTCAAAGGTCATAAGGGTGGTCTTTTCGTGGACGGCCCTGCCCTTTTCTACCACGGCATTTGTAGTCTTGGGCCCGATGGCACCGGTGAAGACATCGTAGACGTATAATGCCGTTGGGGCGATGTAGACGGAGCCAGAGGGAGGGTCGGAGCGGGCTTCAAGGGGAGCTGCGAAGGCAGTCGTGGCCAGGGTAGTGACGGCGAGGATCGTCTTGGTGAGCATTTTTGCTGGACTGGTTGAGATGGCTGGATGATTGTGTTGCTGTATGGAAGCTGACTGTGTAGGACAGGGATATATGAAATAGTGATGAGATGGGGAGGAAAAGAAGGAATCTTGCCCATGAATACACCGGCTTTATATAGTCATTATCAGGATATTATCTACATGTCCAGACCTGATGTATTCCCAGTCTAGGATTACAGTTCGCAGCACGCGCCTCCACGATGGTCCGGAAATAGAGTCACAGATGGAGAGAAAATAAGCACCGCCTTTTCGTCACGGCACTTGCTACGCCTCTGAATGGGTGTGCCCAGTACCTGGTTAATTCGTTCAAATGTTCCAACTACCTACCCATCTTGGCGTCCTCCAGAGAACTGGCGTCTCGACTGTAACCAATAGACTGCCTGCAGGGTTGGAGCATTGGCAGACTCTCGAAAGCCGTGGTAAGGCTGAATGGCTCAAAGAGTACAACGGCAAACTATCTTGGATGCTGATGATAGACAAATGGGGATGACGGCGTTGAAGTTTGGTGGAGGCGTTCGAGGGCGAAGCTGTGTGGCTGACGGGCCCATGGTTTCGATGCCATTGATGAACTATCGACTAGGTCGTAAGCTTTGGCGAATAAGCGCAAGATGTAGCAAGTATGAGTGGCTTAATGGCTTGAAGGGCTCTGTTCCTTCTGGCATATGCGGCTGAACCCTTTTTCCTCTATGGGATTATGCTTGGGGCCAAATGTGCGGATGGCACGGCGGTGGTCTCGAATAGAACGCTCAATCATTGTCCCGATGGCGCAGCAGGGTAAAGTGCCACCGGCAGTCTAAAGTCTCGGGACTGCAAGTTTCCGAAATATTCTGTCCACTCTAGATCGTCAGAGTTGGCTGCCTCCCTCTGATGTGTGCGGTTCCTTGGGGCCGGCGACAGTCTTGCTGGTGGAAGCAGGCTGGCCCAGGTAGTGTGAGGGAGCAAATCCGTAAGTAAGAAGAACACATATTCCCATTGCCCGCATGTTTTGATCATGCTTCCAATGGTGGTTTCGGCGGCCTCCGTCCAAGACCGTCATGGAAAATACGGCAGCTGACTGTGATCCTCCCACACCAACTTTGGGTTCCCTGTTCTCCAAGATTGGACACCACTGCCTCCATTTCTGTACCAAATAAAAACTCGCAGTCATGGCCTTGGGCTGTTTTATACTGTGTGGCCATCTGTGTAATGAGAGGCTCAGTCGTTGCTGTCAGTAGCCCCATTCGGTGATGGAATCCGACATCAATGTATATATGTTGGACACCAACTCACATATAACTGTAGCTGTATCTTGTCATCCGTCTGTTAAGTGAACTGATAGGACATTGCCGTACTGTCTCGCAGACCGGATGGCTACGAGGTGCAGTGGTTGGCGGAGCAGAAGGCTCAGGACCATCCAACTCGTCTCCGAGGTTCAGTGCTGCCATTCCTCGATACACAGATAGCGTATATCTTGAAACACGAGTTGGGATGAAAGCGTACTCAAGGACGGCTCCGGATAAGAAGCCGTAAAGTCGGGAACGCGATGTCTCGAGATGGATAGTTTAGTGAGCATCGCCCGTTGGCGACCACGAGTATTGCATGTCGTAGAGCGGTGCTCGTGCTATCAACCCTATTCTTTTAGAATCGCGGGGTCATGGGTTTCCAAGCATCGCCAGGATTGTTAGAAGCTGTGCAAGGCGTCCATACGTACAGTTTGCTGCGTTGTCGCAAGGCAAGTTGGTGTCTGATTTTTTGCTTTCTATTCCCCGGCCCAAACAATGCACCATTCCCTAGGATTTATCCAGGGGCTTTTTGAAGCGGGATGAATCAGAGCTCCCCTTCAGGATGTTCTAGCACCGATGCCGTTAATTTGAAATGTCGCAAACCATAGAATACACAACCATAGCTACCAGAAAATGTATGTGCCTTCAATGTTGTTCTTCAACAATGCCGCGCCTGGCCATCCGGTGGCGCTACATGTTCCAACACGGCGGCAATTCTCTCGAGTCGGTCAAAACGTAGCTTCATGACAGATGATTCACCAACATGCGACCACCACGGTTCGAAATCCACGCGAGCGCAACTGATGTATTATCCACCGCCCATTCATCACAGCTTTACAGAAACATCGTACATATCCAAGAGGACGGCAAACCCCGTCACAACACCCATGTATCCCAACAGCACGGCCATTGTTACTGACGGACCGACATCCAACGTCCTGACCGTCATATTCACCAACCCCGTGAGCAGGTTCGCCACCAAGAACACCGCCAGACCGTTCCTGTTAAACGCCCTGAGCACCCTACTCGTGGCAAATTCATTTGCCTCCCTTTCTGTCCTGCCATCGGTGGCATTGTAAGTCGCCGGGAAGAAAACGGTGTCGATGAGGCAGCACGCAAAGATCTGGATTGTGTTGAAGGACGCCACCCACAACACGTAGGGGAGGTTCGCGAGCCGGCGGGAGACGACGAGGCCCAGGCCGAACGAGTAGCCGGTGCAGAGATAGTACAGCGCGGACCAGATGGCAGCCCAGACGGCAATGGTCATGAGCAGCGTGTTACGCTGCGTTCCGGGCGTGGCCTTGCTGCGCGGGTTGATGGCGCGCGGGATGATGAACATGCCCAGGTCTTGGCCAGCCAGGAAAATAGCCAGGTAGCCGAAGAAGCTGAATACGCCTTCGCGGTTCATGGAGAGCAGGTCCGTCCGCGGCGCGGTGAGGATGTACGCCTTGAGCGCCGTGTTTTCGAGGAGCACCTCGTACACGCCGCCGACGAGGAGCGCGAGCGCCGCGTACGAGGGCACATATCGCAGGACGGCCTGGAAGGCGGCCACAAAGGGCGGCAGGAAGCCCAGGGTGAAGAAGAAGTTCCAGTGGACGCCGTACTCGGTGACGTGCTCGGCGTAGTCGAGCCCCTTGACGCTGAGGAGGCGGATGACGCCCAGCACCAGCAGCGGGGCCGAGTGCCTGGCCGAGTAGACGAGGCGCTTGACCAGCGACATGCTCTTCCCCGAGGCTCGCTCCTTCAAGACGGGCCTCGCGGCGACCACGCCCGCGGTGAAGACAAACGATCCCACGCCCATGTCCATCAGGCTCGTCCCCCACGTCTCTACTTTGGCGAAACGCCGCGGAAACAGGCGAAAGTCAACGGCCAGTATGCTCACGCACGTCATCACCATCATTGCGCCGCGGTACGACGTGAGGAACGGCTTGGCCGGCAACACGTCCAGCGGCCGCGCCGCGTTCTTGCCATCCCTCGGAACAATCGGCTTCTTTTTGCGGGCCGTCTGCGCGGGGAGCATGTACACGGATGCCACGGGCGCGAGGAGGAAGAGGATCAGGAGGACGGGCGTGCTGGCGTAGAGCGTCGTCGCGAGGAGGAATGCGCCCACGCAGAGGAGGAAGTCGACGGTATAGGAGAGCGGCGTGTACGGCCTGAAGAAGGATTGGCGAGCTTGGAGGGCAGACCACAGCAGAATAGCAACCTATTTTTTTTTCATGGTACATTTTGTCAGGAACAATGGATGCTATGGCCTGGGACACGCTCAGAAAGCACGGAGGAAACGAACGGGTACAACGGCCGTGACGGCAGCTATCTCGGGCACGGAACCGCCCGAGAGGTTGGACACAAAGTCCTCCTTTTGCTGTTTGTAGCTCTGCTTAGACATTGCGCCGGTGCGTTAAAGACGCATTATTACAGAGAAAGGGGGCAAGGTGGTGGTGGCCGTGGCGCGCAATGGCGGTTGAGGACAGACTGTTTCTTTCTTTTGCGGATTGCTGGTCTTGACTGCCCCTTCAGCCTCGTGGTGTTGAGGCGTCAGTAGCTCCATGCGCGTCCGGAGTGGGGTCATTTCGCACCGGGCGTAAGCTGGCCAATGACTAGCTGTGATGGGGGTGTTTCTGTGGCGCGGGAGGGGCCGTGTGGCTGGGCAGCGTTAATGTACGGAGTACTGAACGGCAGCAGCATTAGGGTTGGTGCTTGGCAGTCGTCGACGGCGCTCCTGGATTGTATATTATATCAAGGCGGAAATTGGTAGTAGTATTGGGGTCTAATTGCTATATTGATATTGTCCTTTTGCCTTTACAAAACCAAGCAGTGGAGCCGTGGACCCAATTCGGGGTTCCTTCTGGGGTAAAGGTGCACAAACTTGCAAGGCGCAGGGTCTCAAACCCATATCTAGGGTTACGACCAGGTACTATTAACTGCTTCGTCGCACGGAGAGATTTACATAACATTCGCGATATCTCGTTTCGTTGATTAGCTGGCCGCATCGCAGAATCCGTCCATCAAGTTTCTCAGCATTAGCCTCGCACCATTTAAACATGCATGTGTACCCAACATGGATGTGCTTCAAGCCTCACCGTCTCCCATGACGAGAACACGGTGCTAACTGCAAACCCTCACATTCCGGACAATCAAGTCGCATGGATAGACACTAGTCAGCTCGCATCATACGGCATGCAGCATCTTGCCAGTCCATCTCGGCACATGGGTGCTAGGCAGTAGGGTCACTAGCCATGGTCCTTGTGGTCTCCCTCTCAATCCCGAGACCAAGCTGAGCCTACATACAGTACATGCATCGGAGTACTTTCGGGTAGAGTCAGGCCAAGCTTTTTCCAAGAAGATGCATTTCTGCAGGGCTTGTGCGGGCCTACCACACCAACACGCACATAGACACAATCAAGCGATTCAGAAAGGGGGCGTTGATGGAGAATACACGACGCGCGGGCGGTGGTGGAACTGGCCACCCAAGCCCGATGTGCTCCATGATGCCGCATGTACAAAAGTCGAGTATGTATTCCATTTCTTACTTGGGATGAAGCCCTTGGCGAAACACGGCAAGGTGAAAGCACACACACAAGCCCACTGCTACTTATGCCGGCGTGGCTTGGAAATGCTCAAAATTTCGTGTCTTCTTGCTGCAGATAGACAATTGTCCCTTTCTTTGTGGGCCATAGGCATCAATACTCAGCCGGTATCGCTGGAGATATCCCTATT